CACAGGGCAAACAGAAAGGTACCAGCTGTGAAGGGAGGAACAACAGGTTTTCTTCCCTTCTGTCTCTTTCTCTGAACTCTTACTGCTTCCCATTACAATTTCAACACTCCCAGCACCTGGACTGGCTGTTCTCCAAAGGCTGCAGTGTGTAACTGCTCAAATGCTTTGCTCCATCAGACTGATGGTGGCAGTGACCATCTGATCAATGCCCAGCTGCTCTGAGGTCAGCCTTGCTACAACAACCAGTGTCACAATGAGGCTGCAGCTCCAAATCCACTTCTGGGAGAAGGCTGTGTAGTAATATGTGCTTAGGCAATATAAACCTTCCCAGATTTCACAGCAACCAGTGCCACCCACACAGTAAAAGGCACTTATGTGACAGGTGTGTCACTGTCTCAAGACAGAGGATGACAGAAGAAAAGCCTGTGTGTTCAGAGGCTCCAAAGCTACAGGAACAGCTGCAAAGCCGTCCTCAGGCTGCAGAACTGGGTCACAGAACAGGGGCATTTCCTTTACATTAGTCTGCCTGCAAACTTTTCTGCTTTGGGCAGCTCTTGAAGAAACTCTTTTAAGGATGAGCACAAAGGGTCATCCCAGGGGAGAAGGAGCAGGAGCTGGGTTTGAGCTGTGCTAACTGGCTTCAGAGCTAACAACTCCTATGGCAATAAACTCCTGTTCCAGCTTTATCAAAGTAAGATCAAGCCAGACTCATTCATTCTGCATTAATTTAGCAGTGGCAAGTAGGGCCCATAGTAGAGTTTTTCTACTTTGATTTGCTCAAAGGTACTCCAGGTCCTAATTTAGAGATGTAAAAACAAATTCCAACAGGGAAAGTGCACACTCATGCAATGCTTATGAACACAGGAATCATCTGGTGACCAGCAGCTCTCAGATCTTCTCTTCTTCCTTCACCCAGTTTGTCTCAACTCTTTTTCACTTCTTTGTTTAATCCCGTTTTCCTCAATGAAAGTTAATTAAAGTTGAAGGTGAATTAAAACTGGGCAGCTTGCTCTCTTCCAAGAGCATTGGAGCATTACACCAGAAACATTTCCCATTTTTCATGCTGACTTACATTTTGCTGCAGTTAGACTGTAAAAGAAATCTGAAATATTAGCACTTTTAGGCTGCTGGCCTTCAAAGCTGTAGTCACAACAGCTGCAACTGCAGTATGAACACAGAAGAATTATTACATGAAAAGCAATTAAGTATATTTAATAGATCCTCTTATGATTTGGAGTTCAACAAAGCCCTTTGGAAACAGGAAGGAGGAGCATTCACTTGGACATGTCACAGCAGCAGCAGCAATTGTTTAAGTATATCTTCAGGGCAGTGAAGGAAGCAGCATTTCTCCTCACCTACTCATAAATCAAGCTGTAAAGTTGGTGAGTCATGTGCAAAGCTACCTAGAGATGTTCTGGCACTTTAGGAAAGCTACAGGAAAAAATTCTTCAAAATTGCATATGTATATCTGTCCCTGCCTTTTGGGAGTAAGTGACAAAATTTCTTAAGCTTCCATAAGCAGAAATGTCAATCACAATAAATACAACTGGGTGTCTGAATCAAGGATGTCAGTCTATTTCACAAACTTCATCTGAGGCATGTTGCAACACCACATCCATTCAGCTTTCAGTTTGGAAAAATTAATAAGCCCAAACACACTTTTCCCAGGTCAGCTTTTGCACTAATGAAGTCACTTCCAGTTAACATCAATTAGCAATTAGTTTGGATATGGGATAGAAATAAACATAATTTTGTCAGTTGGGTGCAGTTCACCAAATTTAAAAAATCTTTAACACTCAGCAAGTGGGAAAGTGGGGACAGATGTTAAAATGCAAATGAAATCAAAGGATGAAAAAATAATCCTTTAATTTAATCAATTTTTTAAGCAGCACCAAGCCCACATCCTCCCTTGCCAACACCACAGATTATAGTAAAGAAGTCATTTCAGAATATCAACAGTGCACAGTTCTTAGAGCAAACACACTTCACCTGTAGGCAAGAAGTTTATGCACTGCTCTTCATTCTGTTACACGTTACTACAGAATAAATATGGTATATAAAATAAATAAGCAATGGCAAATAGTCAGTCTACAGTAATTGCAATTGCATTTTGAAATCCTGAATGGTGGCAATTAGATTTTACCTTGGACCTTTTTTATTGTTTCTGTTGGTTTTGGACTGTGAATTCTGACTAGTCACACCTGACCATTCATGCCATGTTAGATATGGAGGTACTATTTGGTATCTGCATGAAATATTTATTAAACTTTCACTCACTGAAGAATTGCTGACTCCAAAGTAAGTTTATGGAAAGACAAAGCTAGAATGTCTCCTTTGACTACTTCAGAAAAGTCTGTTTTCATATAATACTGTCATTAATGCTACAAAAAGACAGAAAATTGTTTAAAATTTTCCATCTGATAGACTGGATAGACTTTGCTGAATTTTCTCTGTAGAAATAAATAAATAAATGAAGAAACTTCCCCATCACTTTCAATAAACCTTGTGTAGGAAAAAAAAATTAATTGGCTGTGCAGCACCTGAATAATCCACTGCTGTCACTGAACTTGTTCCCTGTTATCGCTGTCCACCAATGTTGATTTTCAAATTATTTACATTACTTCCATGAGAACTTTCATGACACAGGTCAGTGCAGACCAGTTTCTCTGAAAGTAAAGCCACAGTGCACAAGATGACTTCAATTTCCTAGTGCCAAGGGTCATGCCCTGGGGCCCATGACAGCTTTTCTACAAAACCAGTCAGAGGGGGCTTGTGGTTCATTATTTCATGTGCCAAAGGATATATCTATGGGATTATGGCAGATTTCTAGATCTGTGTAACTTCTCTCTTATCAGTTTCTGTTTGATTAAATCAGAGTTTAACAGAATTAGGGGGAGAAATGCATGAAAATCAGGAACTGAGTTCTAATTTCTTCTGGAAGGAATGAAAACTCAGATGTAAAGACAGTCTTGTTTTCATTAACTTGATCCAAAGGTGGTACTATCAGATAAACCAAAGGTCAGGTACAACAAAAAGCCTCTGGGTCAAAGAGAACCTCTGGAGCTTAGAGGAGGGAGCCAGAACAGACAGTGACACACAAGAACTTATAAACCATCTTGGAATAGTTTCAAGTATCTCTGCAATGTGACTTTATTGGGTCTAAGTGCAAAGTGAAGTAATCAGCTTTTAGAGATTTCATTAGAAGCTGCAAACTCATCAGATCTATTCAGATTCAAAGTAATTCTGTATGATTTTTAATTCCTTTTGGGAAAAAAAATCTGACTTCAAGTTCTGTTTTTTAGTTTCTGCACCACACATACAGAACAGCGTATCATTGTTAATGTTGCATTTCTCTTAAAAAAAAAAACCCTATGAAAACACCACATTCAGGAATTCAGGGTTTCATCTGAAATTCACTGAAGCCAGACTTGAGTGGGCTTTTATACAGGTCTTGAGCTTCCTTTAGACAACAAACACAGGAAAAAAGCACAACCCTAGCATCCCTGCTGATGACTGAAGTACAAGAAGCAAACTCTGGATCTTTTTAGGTACCTTTTAAACCAGTAGATCTCCTCAGGATCTGCAATTCCATACTCCCTTAGCTTCATCACCATCAAGGAGCTCTTCCTGATGGCTTGCTCATAGCGTTGGCTACGGGACAGGAAGTTCAAATCCTCGTGTTGGAAGTCAGGGTCATTAAGAACTAAGGCCTCTGGGGACAGAGCAGAAGAGGAAAACAAGCTCAGTTTCCACAAACCTCAGCAGGGAGTGAGCAACAACCCAGCATTTTACCCAGCTCTACCTCAAGGCAGGGGTATCAAAAAACTGAAAATAAAATTAGAAGTTAACGAAATGAGAATGAAATCAAAGCTCTTTGAGAGCTGCTGGCACTCCCATTCCACACATAAATCCCACTTTCAGCTCAAAGCACCCTGGACTTGGCAGGAGGGCAATTCACTGATGTAAGACCAGCAGGTCCCTCAGCAACAGCCCCAGAGGCTCAGGCAGCCTTGTGAACTCTGAACCCCTTGCAACTCCAGCAGAAGGGCACAGTTATTATTCCCCCTGTGCCAACTGGAAAACAAGGTGCCCAGGGAGCACAGACTTTCTGTGTCCCCCCTTTGGAAGAAGTTACACAACAGCAGCCTCTGACAGCCCCAGCCCAGGGAAGAGCCTGGAAGTAGCTCATTAATCTCTCATAACCACATCGTGCCGGTTGACAAACAGATGACATTTGTACTGTTGGGCAAGAGCATGCTAGGAAGGAAAAAGGAGGGGACAGAGCCCATGAGAAATGCCCATGGGAAGCCGCCTCTGACCCTCTGGAGGAAGGGGAAACAGGGAAGTAAAAGGACACTGCTCTATCAGGGCCACCCTACGTCCATTCTGGGGAGAAGAGGGGGAGCAGCTCCTGTTCCCCTCCAACCCCTTCCCTTACGCTGACCCTCCACCTGCAAACGCTCTCCTCAGAGCTTTCTCCCCTCCTTGGGGTCTCCCCTCTCCACAAAAGCGCCTCCACACCCTCTCCCGCCCCACGACCCCCTCACAACCTGGTGGTTCCTCACCTCCCCCGAGGCTCCTCGCCCCGTATCCCGCTCTCCCTGGGTCTCCCCCACCACGCAGCCTCTCCCCTTCACACCCCCGCATATCCTTCTCCCCCTCCGAGCCCTGACCGGGGCTGTCTCTCCCCGACCCCACGGCCCGGGCCCTCCCTCACCGATCTCCTTGCGGCGGCGGGTGCGCTCAGGGCCGCCGTCTAGGATGTGGGTGAGCAGCTCGGGCTGGAAGGTGGCGGCGGCGCGCTCCCTCCGCAGGTCCGCGTTCACCGACATCGCAGCGGCGGCGGCGGCTCTACCCGATCCCAATTCCAATCTCAATCCCGATCCCGATCCTTTCCCGTCCCCGCTGCGCCGGCCCCGCCCCCGCGTGACGTCACTCCCGCGACGCCACGTGGTTCCTGAGCACGTGGGTGCCTCCGCTGCCCGCCCTTCCCGCGGGAGGCGATGGCGGAGCGGTGAGCTGGCGTTCCGTGGTGCTGGGAGCGGTGCCTTAAATCGCGCTGTGGTGGGCACGGAGCAGCGCTGCGAGAGCGCCCGGCACACACGGCATCGGCATGGAGCTGCTAATTAAATAAACAGCTCATTAGGTGCCGTTAGCGGGCTGCGTTTGTGCCCGCGTTCAGTACGGTGTTGGATAGTGCTGTGGATCTGCGTATAAAGGGCTGCGCTCGGGGCTGGGCCTGCCGTAAATCTTTCTGCAAGGTCCTGCGGTAGAGCTGGTGCATGCATTAGGTAGCACATTGGGTGGGCACAGGGTGTGTGGTGACTGGGGTATGGCTTTTACAACCCAAATGACTCCATACGTTAAAAAGTGCATTAAATGCACACTGGGCGTCTTGCATCCCTGGCTGATCCACCTTGCTGCACAGCGTGATTCAGGAGCAAAACCCGAACGGTACAGGACAGCCTTTGCCCTTCTGGAGGTGCAGAATTGTCCCTGCTGTTTGAATGTTAGGTGCGGCGGGGATGCACGGAGCTGCAGAGGGCGGGGAGGTGGCTTGCGACCCTGCCAGAGGGGTTTTTCAGCGCGCTCTGGGTGCCCACAGCCTGGCCTGGGACTGTGGGGCAGCAGGCCGAGAGGGAGGCATGTGCAGGGATGGGGTAAGCCAGAATCGCCCTGGTTTCCCCAGCCTCCCACAGAGTCCTCCATGGGGCATTTTGCAAGGTGACAATACCGTGAGCAATGCATGGGGTGGGGAAGGGACACCAAGCATTAAAGCCACAGCATGTGTGTCAGCTCACTGTCCCCTCTGCTGAGTAGTCAGTCTTGGGGGTCCTTGAATGCCCATCGATGGACCCACTTGTGTGAGTGGCAGGACTCCCTGCCTGGCTGTTGTGCAGCTCTTGGGGTTCCCCACAGAAAGGAAAAAAAAAAAAAAAAAAAAAAAAAAAAAAAAAAAAAAAGAGAGAAAAGCGGTAAACGAAGCACGAGAACATTCCAAACACAGGCAGCCTGCAAGGGAGATCAGAAGGAAAATTATGCCAAAAAAACCCACTTCAGAGCGCAGGCAGGAGCCGGGCTATGGCATTGACTGGGCAGGGTTAGAACTCTGCTGAAGCTGCTTTGCATTCCTGCCTTTCTATGTGCTCTGTGCTGTGGCTGACTTGCCTGTGCCAGCCCTGCTCCACCGCAGGAGCTCCCAGGAGCTCCCACCTGAGCCTTGCCTTGGAATTAATCCTTCTCACTCCTCGCTGTCTGCTAAACCCTGCCAGACTTCTGATGAACCTAGGCTGGTTTGGATCCAGTTTATCGTTCTCCAGCTGCAGGATCAGACACTGCCAGAACTTTTTTTATGTTGCAGTAAAGAGAACAGGCTTGGGATCATTCCACAAGTCTTGCTGCATAGTACTCTGTCACCCCAGCAGCTGAGGCTGTCCCAGTCCCTCACACTCTCTGAACTTCCCAGTCACCATTCTCCCCACTTTCTTAACTTTTCTCAACTCATGCATAGCCTGGGGGAGACCCAGAGGACCTGGTGAGCTGCCTGTAGTTCATGCTGGGTTGTGTGGGACTAGGCAGCTCCTCTTTGTGCCAGGATGCCCTGAGCTTGGCATATGCAGTGAGTTGCAAATAGGACTCAGCAGGGAAGCTGTGAAGCTCTTGCAGCCCCCTGGATGGTGGAACCTGGGCAAGGGAGGACTTGAAGGGCAGTATCACTTACAATTTGGATCAGGTACTGGAGAAGCATGGAGTCAGACCTTTTGCTTTACTGCAGGTCAGCTGTTGTGTGAGATGCTGCCAAGTGCTGCTGTCTATTACTTCCCGTGGGAGATCAACAGCTCGGTCCCTGAGGGGAAGACACTGAGGACATTTGGCAGGTGAGAAGGGTACCCTGCTCTCCTTGCAGGCCAGGCCTTTCCTTCACTGACTGAGCACCCCCTTTTGGTTTGTAATTGGATTTCTGCACAGCTGAGCTTCCCAAATTGATCATTCCCAGGTTATGCTGCTATGACCTGGCCCGATCTGAAGCCATTCTCACCACGCAGCACAACTCGGCTCAGTACCAGGTCTATGTTGACACCAAGTTTGTGGAGCCATTCCAAGCCCAAGTGGGATCTTCCTACATGGTCCTGGGAGAGGCTGAACACAGGGAAGGTAAATGCTCCGGGAACTGGTGCCCTTTGCTGCTCTTCATGGTACCTCAGCTCTTTTGGGGCTCCTTGAGTCACTGAGGACAGCCTGGACCAAGGCTCTTCTCATGCAGCTCCTCCATCACACGAGCATGTGATTCAAGGTAGGAGCAGCCTGTCCCTGCTGACGATGAGAAGAGCCACCCTTATCTTGGTGAAAATCTGGTCCTCTGGCTCAGATTTTTTTAGAAACAGGAAGCATTTCAGCCACATTGCTGGGCTTGTGAAACCTATGCTAAAAAGCCTTCTGGCATGGCTGCCAGCCACCACACTGTCTTCGCCCTAAACGTGGCAGATTGCAGCAATACCTCATTGCAAGTGACTAGGTTGGTCTTTGCCATCCTTGAAAGGCTCTAATAATATATTATCCTTGCCCTCAGACATGTGAGGAATGCAGGCAGACACTGTCATGCAGGGCACCCTGTTGTCCTTTTCTGGGGTGCCCTGTGTTCCAGCTGCTTAGTGCTTTGTGTGGGGAGTTGATCTGTGCTGAGCCATGGGATGGTGAAGCAAACTCTTTGTTATCTTGGCCACACCTGATAAAAAGCATTTGCATTCGTGCCATAGAAATCCTCAGTGGCATGTGGAAAGCCACACTTCACGTGGCCCCTGGAGAGTGGCCTGCTAAGCCACTGCTGCAAAATTCCTTTAGAAAATTGTTATTTTGGTCATCCCAGCCTAGGAGGAAGTTGGCCCCATTTTGCAGGGGTGGAAGGGGAGCAGGCTGAGATGGTGGCTGTGTCACCAAGGCTGTGTCACCAAGGTTTGGCCCCTTCTGTGCAGCTCCATGTTGCCACTTAAATGCCACCAATTAACCGTTGGTTGCAGCCAGCTTTGAGCCTCTTCCAAGCCCTCTTGTCTGCACAGGGACGTTCAGAAATGAGCTCAGACCCATCACTGCTGCTTTTCAGCCAGGGAAAACCAAAATGCATCCAGCCACAAAGTAGACAGATGGCAGGCACTGGCACTGTTCCCCAGTGCAAGGAGAGTGCAGTGTCAGTCACCAGCATTTTGTAGCCATCAAGGCAGAGGGAAGGCACATCACAGAATTAAGCTGCTCCTGCTGCTCACATCAGTGGCAGCATGCAGCCAGTCTGGTTTCCTGAAGTTCTCAGGCTATGATTATTTGCCCAGCTTGAGTCATATGTTGCCTGAGGGAACTCTCTGTCTCCAAACTGCTCTGTCTGTTTTCCTTTCTCCAGAAACTTCCAGTCCTGTGGTAAAAGCACGAATATTGACCTGTGTGGAGGGGATGAATGTGGCCCTGCTGGAACAAGCCATACAGGAGCAGAGGAAATACTTCAATGAGAGGCAGGAGCAGAGGGAAAGCAGCACATCCTGAGAGCAGCTCTGAGACCAGCCACACGCTGGTCCTTGCACTACCATTTGCAGCAAATATGTTCAAAGTAAATGAGGGTAATTTAGTAAATTAGTAAATTTGCTGTGGCAAACGGCAAAGTCACTGAGCAGGGAAACACTTGGAGACTGACTCAATGTGTGTGACTGTGGGCTCTCCATTTCTGCCCCAGGTGTCATGACTGAAAATAGCTCTGGGAAGCAGGTTTGTTGTTTGCTTGAAAGGGTGGCTAAGGAAAGGGAACACTTGGGTTACACTGGTTCTTCCTATTGTGCATTGTGAAAGAAGTCAGAAGAAGTCTCTGAATGTGGAGTTAAGCAGCTCACCTTTGGCAGATGGGGGAAAAGGGTATTAGCACAAAGTTCATTAGCCCTGCCTGGCTGTGGGCCCATGAGTGCCTGTATTGGGGAACCCTGACTCAGCTGCCACACAGGAACATTCCTGGCAAAACACTCACCTATCTGGACTGACCAAAGAAACAAGAAGAACAAAGAGTCACTATTTTCAGTAGCACCTGCCTCTACAGGTGGGAAGAACTGGTATCTAAGGGGAGGATTAATTCTAACTCTAAAATAAATATTAGCAGTACCCTGAGTACTTGACTTTCTTCCTTGACACAACTAAGTTTAAGAGAGCTGAAATCACTATTTTTGAAGTATCAAAAGATTTTAATTGAAATTTTCCTAAATAAAGATGAAAAAATAAGGCAGCCTGCGTTTTATTGATTAAATCCCTCTTTCTTGCCAAGTCAGATGTGTTACGCCCTGTACAAACCCTATAGATGATGTAAGAAAATTCAGTTTTTCTCTTCCTAAGTACTGGGTGTGTATGGAAGTGGCTGGCTCTAAAAAGGTTGCAAGAAAAGGAGATGAAGTTACATCAGAGCCGCTCTGGTTGAAGAACATGGTGCCAGGCCCACACAGCTGTATTAAACCATTGACAAAAGGACAGAACATTGCTAATGTGACATGAGAATCAAATGTTTGTGCAAGGGAGGGAAGACTCTCCTGTACTGTGGAAATCCCCAAATTTGGAGTGAGCCATGCCTGTGGTTTGGAGGGGAATGCAGCCATCTCCAGCCTTTTCTACTTGCACTCAAAGATTTTGAGCTGCTGGCTCAGCAATGGGTTAAATCAGCCCTTTTTTAGGGCACCTAAAACTGTGGTCTTCCCTGTGGACCCACACAGCTGCAATGTCCATGTCCACCCAGAGACATGGAGCCCCCAAGTCCTCCAGATGAAATTCCCTTTGCCTCTGCCTTTCCTGGTGCCACAATACATAAGATTATTTTAATCTCGTCTTCTGCCAGCTATCAAGTCAATGATTAATTCCCCTTCAAGGACATCTCCTGAAAAGCTGACTGAGCAACACAGCCCATGTTGGGGAGGTTCAAGGGACAATTGTGCAAGACAAAATAAAGGGAAAAAAAAGACAAAAAATAAAAAGAAACCCCACACAACACAAAAAATCCCAAAAACAAAAAAAAAAGCCCCACAAAAAACCCTGACAAAAAAAACAAACAAAAAACCAAAAAAACTACAACCAAAAAACCCCAAACCCAAAAAAAACCCCACAGCAAAACCTTCCCCCTCCCTCCAAACCAACCAAACAATAAAAAAGACATTTCTGCTGGGTGTTTGCCCTCAGCATGTCCCAGAGAGCCATAATTATTAACCCAATTACTCCACCAATTCCCAGCACGGTGCAGATGGAGCAGGAGAGCTTCCCCTGGCCCTGTGCAGTTCATGCTGCTCTTCCTGAGGCCCCAAAGTACATCTGTACATCAATTTTCCTCAGTTTTTGGCTGTAGCCAGCACACTGCACGACCTGGGCAGCAGAACAGCCAGCCCTGGGTGGCTCCTGCGTGACTCTGTCCGCCTGAAGCTCCCCGGACACCCCAGAGCCCACCAGGCCGCCCTGTCCACTCAGCTGCCCCAGGCAGGTCCCCGAGGGCTCCCTCAAGGCTGAGGGAGCCCCAAGGTGGGACCCAGACCCCGCTTGCACCTCAGGGGACACCTGGGGCGCTCAAACGCTTTCCCCACATTCACCTTTTTGTTTCCCGCTTTTTTCCCTCCCCTCAGAGCGCGGTGCCAGCCGCCCCCACTGCCACCGCCAGGCTGAGGCAGCCCCATGGAGGCCATCCAGGCGTCCTTCCAGAAGGTGGAGAAGATTGGGGAGGGCACCTATGGCGTGGTGTACAAGGCTCGCAACAAGCGCACGGGGCAGCTGGTGGCCCTCAAGAAGATCCGCCTGGACGCGTGAGTGAGGCAAAGCCCTGGGCCTGCCATGGCGCCAGGCCTGTGCCCAGTACGGTGCTAGAGGCACAAAAAAGCCTCACGTGGTGGGGAAAAAGGTGTCTCTAGGATTAAAATAATCTTGTGTATTGTGGCACCAGGAAAGGCAGAGCCAAAGGGAGTATTGTCTGGAGGGCTTGGGGGCTCCCTGTCTCATGGGCATGGCAGCTGTGTGGGTCCACAGGGAAGACCCCAACTTTTAGATGATCTAAAAAAGAGCTGATTTAACCCATTGCTGAGCCAGCAGCTCAAAATCTTTGAGTGTGAGTGTTTAGGGCCAGCACCACTTGCCCCTGGGTCCATGGCACAGGGCAGGGGCAAACGGCTGCCATGTTGTGAGGTAATATCTCCCTCAGCGCTGTGCTGTGCAGGTCAGGCAGAGTCAGCCTCGGCCATCCAGGGTGTACTGAGCAGGGAAAAGCTTATTGCTGTTCCCCTGGGTCATCCCTGAGCTGTGTGCACAGTGAGGGGTGTCTGCCTGGACTGGGAGCCAATATGCTGGGGCTGCACCCCATGGTGGCCCCTCAGCGTGGGGGAGGTGGCTACCTGAGGGGCAAAGAGCTTTCATTTTCCCCCACCTACAAAAAGAAAGAACTAGGTAATTAATACATTATTGCTTCTCTAGATGCACCCTTAGGCGCTTCCAAACAAGCTTTGCCCCAAGGCTTGCATGTCTAGGTCATCCCCTTCCTCTCCCTGCCCACAACTCCATTTCCCCCTGCCTCACCCCAGCCACTGCTCAAACCCAAATGCTCCCTTGGGGTACAGTGGAAGAAGGAAGGGACACAGAGCCCCACTGGGCTGTGGGATCCCCCTGGGTTATGGGGTGCAGTACAGCCTGTCTCTGCCACAGGGAGTCAGAAGGTGTCCCCAGCACTGCGATCCGAGAAATCTCACTGCTGAAGGAGCTGAAGCACCCGAACATAGTCAGGTAAGACCTGGATACACCCTCTTCACCCTCTCATCCATGAGCTCCTGCTCTGGGAGCAGGCAGCAAGGGGGTTTTTCTGTCCTTCCTCAACTGCATAGGCAGGGCCAAAATACACAGCAAAATGCAGGAATCCCTTACACTTCCCTGGCTTTCAGCAATACTTCACGGGTCTGCCACTTCACCAACACACTGCTGCTGCCCCATACTAGATTCTGCCCTTAAACTGCCCCTCTCTTCTCCAAAGGACCAACAGAGCAGAGGCATCTGTGGGAGGAGGGATGTTTGGGTATTTACAGAGGTTTGGAGCACATATTGAGGGGAGAGCCTGTACTTCCTTTACAGGCTCCTGGATGTCATACACAGCCAGAAGAAGCTCTATATGGTGTTTGAATATCTGAATCAGGACCTGAAGAAGTACATGGACTCATGCCAAGCTGGAGAGCTTCCTTTAAGCTTGGTCAAGGTACAGCATGGAAGGATTGCCAACAGGCAGGGCAGAAGCATGTCCCTGCTGCCTTCTGCTGGGCAGGGGCATCTCGGAGCTGCTCAGACTGGGCCTGGAAATGATTCCTCAGCCTCCCAGATCTCAAACATTTCAGCTGGAAAACTCTCATGGCACTATTGCTCAGAAATGTTTATTTCCCAGCAGTTTCCAGGCTCTCCAGCCTATCTTGCTGCAGAACAAAGGAGGATCTTTTGCTAATTGCCTTTGTAGTCAGTAATGGGTGGGTGGAAGAGAAGGACAGTGCCTGGACCAGAGTATCTCTGTGCCCACATGGCATGGCAGCAGTTTGTGTGTGTCTCTGAGTAGTGGCCCATAAGCCTGACGTTGCACTGTAACAAGGGCTTTCTTCCCATTCAGATCTATAAGAGATCCAAAGTGCGTTGGTTCACACAACCCAGAGTTCAAAGTGTTTTCATCATGGCCTTATCTGAAATCTCTTCTCTCTTCAGAACTACCTTTTCCAGCTGCTGCAGGGTGTGAGCTTCTGCCACTCGCACAGGGTCATCCACAGGGACTTGAAGCCACAGAACTTGCTCATTAATGAAGCAGGAGCAATCAAGCTGGCTGATTTTGGACTGGCAAGAGCTTTCGGGGTCCCCCTCCGCACATACACTCATGAGGTAGTGTTGAGGCTCCCTGAGTGGGGTACAAAATCCAGAGTGGGTGAACAGCAGCAGCACAAGTTGCTCATGCATAACACAGGCATAGCCATGCCAGGAGTGTGCTCTTAACCTCACCTGCAGCTAAGGGACCTCCATGTCCCCACAAGGTGTGCTGTCTACTGGAGTCAGGCTGCCAGCTGGGCTCCCACCTTCTCTCCACAGGGTACACTTAATTGTTCCAGAGCGTGTTTTTGAAGAATGTTCTGTTAATCCCAACCTGGCAGGCACTAAAGTGTCTGTAAATTCAGCAAGGCCTTAGCATGCTCTGATTTGTACAGTCACTCCATTACAGTTGAGAAGGGAGGGTCCCACACCATGGTTTCATCCAGGGAAACCAGATACAGTTTGTTTGTTGGTTCCTTTCCAGGTGGTGACTCTGTGGTACCGAGCCCCTGAGATACTGCTGGGATGCAGATACTACTCTACCCCTGTGGATATCTGGAGCATCGGCTGCATCTTTGCAGAAATGGTAGGATGGGTTTAAATAATCTCTTTCTTGGGCCAGAGGAGGCAGTTGCAACTTCAGCCTTATTGCTGCAGCATTTTGACCCTGGGAGGAGATGACTCTTCCAGATGTCCGCATGGTGGTCTTCAGAGAACAAGCACTCCCATGATGTGGCAGAATGGATCTCCTAGGGGTCCATACTCCCCTTGGAAGAGCTGTGGTTAGCCCTGCAGTATAACACCACTTTTCCTCATTCCCAAAGTTCCTGAGCTGCAGAGCAGGCAGGACAGAGGTAGCCAAGAGTGGGAGCAAGCAGACACCTGTGATGTTCCCAGCCCCTGCCTGGCAGAATCACTGCATTGTAACTGCCCTGGTCTGTGCAGTTGTTTGCACCTGCTGGGACAGAAGGCTGCTTGCAGCAGGAAATAGGGCACACAACTGATGGAAAGGTGGGAACTGGCTTTTTCTTTTCTTCCCCCAGATGACCAGGAAGGCCCTGTTTCCAGGGGACTCTGAGATTGATCAGCTCTTCCAGATCTTTCGCACTCTGGGCACTCCCACCGAGGTGACGTGGCCTGGTGTGACCCAGCTCCCTGACTACAAGGGCAGCTTTCCCCGGTGGCCAAGGAAGGAGATGAAGGACATTGTTCCAAACTTAGATCGAGATGGGAGAGACTTACTGACGGTGAGTGAGGGCTCAGAACAGGGCCTGGGGATAGGCAGGACGTTTTCAAACTGGGCAAGGAACAGGGATATTTGAGATTTAATTACCTGGAAGTGTAGCTGATCTGGGTTGAATGCTCACCTCTGACATTGTAGAAGCACCAATTCATGGAATAGGGCTGAGTCTTACTCTGAAGAAGGACTGTCATTGCAGGGTCCTCTAGGAACCAGTGCATTGGGAGTCAAGGAACTCTTCTAACATAATCCCCAGAGTAACTTCAGTTGTGGGTGACTCCTGGAGCCCAGAGACAGAAAAAGGCAGGACCAACATCTGCAACTGGGCCCAGCTGTGTGCAGGTGCAACCAATCACACAGTTTTTAAAATCCTAAATCTGCTGTGTTTTTCTCTTGGCAGCAGTTGCTCCTGTATGATCCCAGCAAGCGCATCTCAGCCAAAGCAGCCCTCAACCACCAGTACTTCCTCTGCAGAAACTCTGGGAGCCCTGAACAGCGACCTGTGCTGCGGAGAGACTGCAGATGACAGGACACAGCTCTCCCCAAGCTCTTGCACTTCCAGGTAGTGCTGCAGATGTGGTCTGGGGCACTTAGCAGGGGCCTGGCTGGATCCCAGTCTTGTTTCTTTTGAGGAACCTGGAAGGGGACATTCTTGGCATTTAGAGACTTTCAGTCTGTTGCTGGGGGAAAGTTTGGGTTACAGCCTGGAGAGCTGTTTTGAAGAGGTCATGTGCAAAAGGTCAGGGTAATTTATCAGCATAAACCACTGAAATGCAGAGAAGAGAGCATTTGTCCTTCCACTAGTAATCTAAGGTGACACACAGTGACTTCTGTCTCCAGCACTGGAGCATCCCCAGGTCTGTTGGTGGCAGTTGCTGGCATCAGGGAAGGGGGACACTTCTCTGCTCAGCCCTTTGCTGCTGTTATCAGCCAGGCTTCTCAGCACTAAAAAAGCTGTTTAGTCTGAGCTGTTTAATAGAGCTGACATCCTGCTCCTTCACAAGCTGAAGAACACTATCAGGTGTCTTAGTTTGTGCCTTAGCTGTGACCAAGAAGCCAGAAGATCCAGTTAGCATAAAAGCAGATCCACTTAGGATAAAGCACTTGCTGCATATGACTGGAAACAGGGAGCACCTAAACCACTGGTTTTCCATCATCATTCCAGCTGTAATGCTGTTCCCCTTTGCTTTATTGCCTTGGAAATGTTTTTTGCTGTTCAAATGTTTGGGGGATTGTCTCTGACTCTTGGTGTGGTGTTGACATCTTAATTCCTTTTTCTTCAGTATAAAATAAATACTTGTCATTTGTTCAGAAACCTTGGTGTTCATTGTTTGGCAAAGCCCATCAGGCTGGTAACACAGGACAGTCTGGCTGGTCCTTTTTTCCACAGAGCCTTTCTCCCTTCCTCATCTCCTGCACTCTTTCTTTTATCCTTTCCAACCCAAATCCTTGTCAGGTGCAGAGATGTGCTCTCAGTCCTGTCGTGGGACTGGTAACAAAAGTGTTAATCCAATTTCTGCTGTGTCTATGTACTTTTAGCAAAGAAACAGGATATGCAGGAGCTGCTTTCTCATCAAGGACAGAAGGAAGATAAGGGGAAGACATCTGCCTTAGGAATGCAGCTATAGCCAAAACAAGATTATAGAAAAAACGGAACCTGGGAACGTGGGGAAGGTTTTATGGTAATGAACAATTTTAATACCCACGCAGCGACCGTATATAAGCAATGCACTTGTAGTGAATCGTGTGCACGCCAGGTGGAGCTTATCCCCCGTGCACCAGCCCTGTGATAAACTTAACGCTGCATTAGTGTTAAGGGGTTTTATTTTACCCGCTTTTTGGAGAATTTCGCTGACAGTTATTGGCCACCCAGATAAGGAGCTCGCCTCTGAGCCTCGGCGGATCTGCAGTCGACAGATCTCCAGCCGGCACCGAGGGGTTCTCGGGGAGAACCTCGGCCTCAGACCGTCAGGGGCTCGAGGCGAGATCCCTGGGGTGAGTAAAGGCATAGTTTAAATTGTTTATCTTGGGGTTATTGACAAGGGGTACGAATCCCCTCACAGAGTTACTGGTGAGGGGATTGAGTCACCCAGCAGGGTTCAAGTCCCTGGGAAAGCTCACCGTCTGGGGCTTCGAGTCCCCCAGGACTACTGGGCTTCCAGTCCCTCAGGACTAGGGGGTTCCAGTTCCCTCCGAGGGGTTCCCCTGGAGCAGGAAACTTAAAGCACTATTGTAGCTGGCCGAGGAGAAAAAAAACAGGCTCGTAACACTGGAGCCAAAACATTGCTGTACCCGCTTTTGTGGTGGAGTTCTCTTAGATACTCTGAATTCTTTTTGGTCTCTGGCGGTGTGCGTGTGAGCGGGTTATGTGTTGATTTCAGTTTGCCGGCCTCTAAAATCAACACTGGGACGCCTGTGAATAAAGCTCGTTAACTGGAAGAGTGTTGAAACGTAACTGACTGTTGGGTTTTCGAAGCAGTCGGGGGGTGTGTGCTATCGATTATTGATTTGTTTTCTGTGTGCGCCGCTGAAATCGCATTTGTGGACGCGAAGCGCCCTCTCGTGTCAGTGCGCGCCGCATTCCCGGCCCGCGTGGGAGCGGGCGGGCGGGCAGGGGCACCCCCAGTTGCAGCTCCCCCGTTCCCCCGCCGGCATCTTAGCTCGGGGAGGAGGAGGAGAAGAGAACAAGCCCAACAGACTCGCAGCACAACAGCCCTGCCCTGGCCCGGCGGGTTCTTGCCTGCTCCAGCGCCTGGGTAGTGTCACCCGCCCGCTGCAGCCCAGAACCAGCCGCGGGGACTCCCCGCGCCCAGGTAATCGTTGTATTCGCTTTCTGGACGTTGTTATATACTTGTATTATTCAGTATGGGGGCGGTTTGTTCTAAAACTAGAGTGGGAAATGATATCCCGAATTCCCCGTTGAAATGTATATTGAACCGCTGGGAAAAGATAGGGGGAGGCTCGCTACTGAAGTCCAAACTAATCCAATATTGTAACCACTGGTGGCCACTGTATAAACTGGACAATCAGGCGAAGTGGCCGGAGAATGGCACCTTAGATTATCACACCATGTTACAGCTGAAGCTGTTTTGTAGAAGAGAGGAGAAGTGGAGTGAGATGCCTTACGTAGATCTGTTCTTTACTTTAAGAGACCATCTGGAATTGCGAAGGGGGTGCTTACCCAGCCTGTCAAACTCTCTCATGTTAGCTTTTGGAAAGGAAGAGGAAAAGGATAGGAGATCAAAGCAATGTTGCTCCTCTTGTAGTATTGGGCATCACTGTTTGAAATGCCACAGCCGATGGGAGGAGGATGATGTAGAAATGATAGAGGCACCAGATGCAGGAGACAGGGGCATAGAGAATTGGGGTATGCCTGATAAGGGGAAAGCACAAGGAGGGGATGAGCAAGAGTTAATTTCAAGTCCAGTGGTGGGGAGAATCCAGGGTGAGCAGGAGGTGAGAACACAAGAGGTAGGGGAGCAGGGGGTGAGAAAGCTGGAGGGAGGGGAGCAGGGGATGAGAAAGCAGGAGGGAGGGGAGCAGGGGGTGAGAAAGCAGAAAGAAGGGGAGCAGGGGATGAGAAAGCAGATTGTAGAGGAGCAGGGGGTGAGAAAGCTGGAGGGAGGGGAGCGGGGGGTGAGAAAGCAGAAAGAAGGGGAGCAGGGGATGAGAAAGCAGGAGGGAGGGGAGCAGGGGGTGGGAAAGCAGAAAGAAGGGGAGCAGGGAGTGAGAAAGCTGGAGGGAGGGGAGCAGGGGGTGAGAAAGCAGAAAGAAGGGGAGCAGCAGGTGAGAAAGCTGGAGGGAGGGGAGCAGGGGGTGGAAAAGCAGGTTGTAGAGGAGCAGAGGGTGAGAAAGCTGGAGGGAGGGGAGCAGGGGGTGGAAAAGCAGGAGGGGGATAAGCAGGAGGCCATAGCTCAGCTCTGGACAGGGGTGGGATCTCACAGCCTGGTAGTGGTGAAGGTACCTTTCTCCCCAGTCGATCTCGAGGCATGGATGAGACTGGCAGGGCCCTACAGAGAAGATCCAGAGAGAGTATCTAGAGTATTTGAAACCATTCTCAAGACCCAGAACCCGGACTGGGGGGTTATACAAGTTCTATTAGATACCCTGTTAGACTCCACAGAAAGAGAGATGGTACTCAGGACTGCTAGGAGAGAGGTGGACAGGATAGGAACAGCAGGTGTGCTACCAGGAGCTGTGGAAGAGCATTTTCCCTCCCAGGACCCCCACTGGGACCCTAACACAAAGGAGGGGAGGGTTTTTCTGGGACAATATCAACAATGGATATTATTTGGCTTTAGACATGCAATGCCAAAGGCAATCAATTGGTCTAAACTTTATGAGGTGAAACAAGAACCACATGAGACTCCAACTGCTTTTGTGGAACGCCTAAGGGCAACTGCCAGGAGATACACTAATATTGATCCAGAAAAACCAGAGGAAGCTGTACAGCTGGCTTCCATTTTCATAGGGAACTCAGCACCGGATATTAGAAAGAAGTTACAAAAGCTGGAGAGAGCAGAGTCTCGTGACCTGGGTGAACTATTACAAGTGGCCTGGATAGCTTTTAATAATAGGGGAGAAGAGGAAGAAAACAAGATCCGGGAGAGAGAAAAGGAGAATGAGCAGAAAGACAAGAGACGCGAAATTGAGTGGGAGGAGCGAAAAAAGAAATGGAAAATGGAAAGGGAGGAGAGAGAAAAGAAACGGGAGGTGGAAAGGAAAAAAAGAGAACGATGTAGGGATGCAATGCTGAGCGCAGCCCTGCAGAGGGCGCTGTTCAAGCGCAGGACGGAGCGGGGCCCTGCCCGCGGGGCGCTGCAGCCCAACCAGTGCGCCTACTGCCGGGGACTGGGGCACTGGAAACGGGAATGCCCCAAGAACCTGAGAGGGCCCAAGCGCTCCGAGCTAACCCTCCATCAGGAGTGACGGGAACCGCGAGTGAGAGCCCCAGCTGAGCCCCTGCTTACAGCAGAGCTGGGGCAAAGAGAAAATTGTGTTTCTAATAGTTTATTATATAAACTATATATCTGGACTTACTTATATAAATATAATGACTTTCTAGTAGTTTATTATATTATATAAAATAGTTTATTGTATGGTAAATACTTATTCGGTATTAAATACAAATCGTGGAAAATTAAAGCAAGGAACTGTAAATGTTGTTGGTGCAACAGGGAAAGAGGAGAACCAAACATTCTTTAACCCCATTAACTTTAAATTTGACAAACAGTGGATAACACACCAATTTTTATATATGCCTGAATGTCCAGTTCCTCTGTTAGGAAGAGACCTGCTAAGTAAATTGGAGGCATGGATTTTGTTTAAACATGGAGAAATGCAATTATTGGTGCTTGAGACTAAAGCCATCAAGGCAAGGACTTTTATGTTGCAGGGAACACTGGAACCAGACAATTCTGGAGGAATACCAGAAACAACAGAAAATGCAGTAAAACACTCTTGACTTGGACCAGTGGAGCTCCAGGCCATTCCCAACAAGCTCAGCCTGTAAGTGTTACCCTAAAACCTGGATGAAAACCAGTAAAACAGAAACAGTATCCTTTAAAGTTATTATCTAGCAGGGCAATTCAGAGTCTAATAGAAAATTTAAGAGAATTTGGATTATTGATAGTATATACGTCAGAACACTCCCATTTTGCCAGTTAAAAAGCCTGGGATGAATACACAGGTTGGTATAGGACCTGTGAGCAATCAGTCAATCAAATATTTCAGGATATACACCCTGTTCTAGCCAGTCCCTTTACCCTGTCAACATGCCTTACAGAATGTCAGCAATAGTTTACAGTGATAGGTTTGAAGGATGCCTTCTTTTGCATACCTCTTGATAAGAAAAGCCAGGGCATTTTTGCCTTTGAAAATCCTCAAACTGGTGGGAAGACTCAGCTTACCTGGATTGTGTTACCACAAAAATTTAGAAATAGTCCAACGATTTTTGGGAACCAGCTGACAAAAGAATTAGAGACCTGGAAAAAGGGAGAACCCTGAAGGGTTGGTCCTGCAATGTGTTGATGATATCTTACTAATGAAAAGTGCATGGAATTGACTATTAGCCTTCTAAATTTCCTAGGCCAAGGAGGTTACAAAGTATTTTGGGAAAAAGCTCAAATCATGAGGCAGGAAGTTACCTACCTAGGGTTTGAAATAATACCAGGACAGTGGAAATTGGGAATGGACAGAAAAGAGGCCATCTGCCAAGTACCCCATCCTGCAATTGCCTGAGATTTAACAGCATTCCTGGCTGTGGCTGGATGGTGAAGATTGTGGGTTTTAAATTAATGGACTTTTAGTCAAATCATTGAGCTTTTAAAGGAGGCCCCCAAAGGACCTTTGATTTGGACTCCTGAGGGAGAACACGCATTCTGTCACCTAAAGATGGCCCTGATGTCTGCACCCGCCTTAGGACTTCCAGACTTAACAAAGCCCTTTGAGCTTTTTGGGCAGGAATGACAGCACCTCATCCTCAGAGTTCTGGCTGAGAAGGTGGGAGACTTGAAGAGACCTGTGGGGTGCTTTTCAGAACAACTGGACAAGGTCAGTCAGGGATGGCCCCAATGTCTGCGAGCTGTGGCAGTGACTGTTCTCCTCATCCAAGAGGCCAAGAAATTGACTTTGGGACAAAAGATAGTAGTGCACATTTCACACACTGTGTTTTGCCAAAAAGGGGAGCATTGGCTTTCCCCAAGCTGTATGCTGAAATATCAGACTGTTCTAGTGGAGCAAGAAGATGTGGAGTTGAAAGTAACCACAGTGGTAAATCCAGCCCAAGTCCTGAACATCCCCATGCAAGGAGAGGAGCAGCTGACCCTCGATGGCCTACACACAGTTGAACAAGTTTGTGTAAGCTGACTAGACCTACAAGATGCACCAACTGAAGATCCAGAGTTCTTTACAGAAGGAGATGGCTTGGTGCAAGATGGAAAATAAAAAGCTGGCTATGCCATAGTAACACCAGCCAAGGTAATAGAAGCTGCACCACTGCCCATGGACACCTCAGCACAGCAGGCAGAGCTCATAGTGCTGCGAAGAGCCCTGGAACTGGCAGCAGGAGGAGGAATGAACATATGGACTGACTTGAAATATGCTTTTGGAGTTGCCCATGGGACCATATGGAAGGAAAGAGGCCTATTAACAGCACAGCGATCTTTGATCAATAAACACAAGAAATATTGTCCTTCCTTGATGCCACCCAGTTGCCCAGAGAAGTATCTGTACTACATTTCAGGGCACGTGAGTGTGGGGAGTCCCAAATTCTTGTAGGAAACAGACTTGCAGATAAATCTGCACAAGACGTTGCACAACAAGGCATCCTGGCATTAATACCTAAGAAGGCTGTTTCACTCCCAGAAGTTAGCCCTGGGTATAGTCAGGCAGATTTAAAATCCCAAAATAGAGAGGATGAACAATGAGATCATAGTCCCACCCCAAGTAATGTTGTAAATTGTCAAGGAGAAATACCAGCAAACCCACTGGGGAATCAGTGCTATGGTGACTGGTCCAAGGACTCAGATACCAGTGTCCCTATGACAAAAAGTGTCAAGTCTGTTACAGAAAAATGCCTGATATGTCTTAAAAATAATCCTTTGAATTATTTTTAATTCAAAAGGACTGCCTCCATGGATCACTAATAGAGGAAACACCCTCAGGAATTACTGATAAATTGTTTTTCCTGAGCTACCACATCATACTGGTATCTCCTGGTATTATTTATTGGACACTTTTTCCAGGTGGCCAGAAGTTATCCCCTGCTGCACCAACAAGGCCAGGAAAGTCACCAAGGTACTCTTCAAAGAGATCATACCCTGGTTAGGGGTTCCTATTGGGATGTCATCTGATAGGGGATCCCATTTTATATCTGAAGTATTACAGCAACTTGGTAAGCAGTTGGGTATAAGTTGGGATTTACATGCTCCATGGGGACTGCAGTCTAGCAGGAGGGTTGAGTGAATGAATCAGATTTTAAAGAGACAGATTGGCAAAATGTTTTAAGCTTTCTTAAAATGGCTACAGGTGTTACCACCAGACTTGCTATGAGTTAGAGTACAGCCCCAAATTAACCTGAAGGTGAGCCTGTATGAATTGATGTTTGGGAGATCATATTCTGCTGCAACTTCCTCTGGATCTGAGGAACAAATTGAGAATTGGGAAATAGAAAAATATTTAATTTTATTAGGGAAACCCTTGAATGAACAAAAAAGGTTTGTCATTCTCTCAGAACCTCTTACCCTAGACACCCCAGTTCACTCATTTCAGCCTGGGGATCACACACACATCCAGATCTGGGAACCTGAGCCACTTCAGGAGCAGTGGAAAGGACCTTCTCTGGTTCTGTTGACTACAAGACCAGCTGTGAAAGTGAAAGGAATTAACTCCTGGATTCATTGCTCCCAAATTAAGAGGACTTCTGACTCAGACTGAATTGTGGAAAACACCAGACCCTTGCAGCAGAAAATGTTGAAGACATCTGCAAATGAGCAGCGAAATGTATAGACTAATATTCATGGGAATTATTTTATATTTAGGTGGAGATAAAAGAACTTGAAACAATTTAAATTTGAAATTATTTTATTTTAAATTATTTTAAAATTGAAATTACTTTAAATTAATTTAATTTTTTAAATTTTAAAAAATAATTTTAAATTATTATAATGTTTTTCTGGATAAAATTTGAAGAAAATTTAATATTGAAGAAAATTTAGTTTGAAAGAAAATGAATAAGAAAATTTAATATTGACTTGAATCCAAGGGTTTGGTAAGATGCACAATCTGTCCAGCATTACAGACTGCCTCCCTATCCCCAGTTCAGCAGGGGAACCTATTCCTTGGGGAATTATCCCTATAAATCTGTCAATGGTGATTCAATATGATAATCTGACATAACAAAAGAGAATGGCCTTAGATCTATTGCTGACCAAAGAACAAAGGGCTGTGGATATTTAAAACTGGATAGAGAATGTTGTTGTGCACACATCCCAAATGTAACAGAAGATCTCCAAAGACCACAAAATATGGGCAGTTGCTGAGGATAGCAAAGCTATCCTGAAACTAATTGGTTCAATAAAATTCTTCAAGGAATAGTGTGATGGTCCCTGAGAGGAGGGCTGGCTGGAACACTGGAAACAATCCTAACTGTGATTGTAGTTGTAATAATTATCAGCACTGCTATTGGTTGTGTTTGCAAAATGATCAGTCATAATCTTGTGGGAATATAGGTGACTATAGATAGAAATTGAGTTGGAACTTATCAAATGGCCTTAAGGAATTTGAGATGTTTCAAAGGAGGGAATTGATACCAAAAGGGTTAACCCAATTTGTGCTGTGCCTTTGTACTTTTAGCAAAAAGAAATGGGGTATGCAGGAGCTGCTTTCTCAGCGAGGACCTATTGAATTCCTAAAACATCTGGCTTAAGAATGCAGCCAAAACAAGGCTATAAAAAAACCTGAACCTGGGAGCATGGGGAGGGTTTTATGGTAATAGGCACTTATAATATGCATGTGGTGATTGTATATAAGCAATGCACTTGTAGAGAATCATGTGCACATTAGGTGGAGCTTGTCCTGTAATAAATGATGCCTCTTCTTAGCACTACATTGGTGTTAAGGAGTTTTGTTTTACTTGGTTTTCAGTGAATTTCAGTGACAGAACAAGGGGCTGATGGTTCTGCAGCCCAGTGATGTCTCAGGGTGGGGCTGCTTTCCATTAGAAGTTGCCACACACTATTTCACAGTTATGTTCTACTTAAATACTCAAAAGTCAGATCTAATTTACGGAAGCCAAACTTCTGCACTCCTGTTTTTCATGCAGGTGCACACATGTGCTCTCCTAGTAACTGCAATCCCAACAAAACAATTGCAGCACAACCTGACAGCTGTGCTCTTGCATCTCATGGCCTTTGTGTGGTGACAGCCAGCTTGGAGGCACATATTTGTGGATGAATCCATGGAAAGATGGATGTATTCTGCTGTGGGAATCATTTCCCTGCCTTTGCATACATGTTGTAAAGTCAATGCTGCGCTGTTTGCTCTATGCAAACAATGCTCATGTTGTACCAGACAAACTGTTTGCAGAAGAGCTTCCTTTTTGTTTTGTTTTTAAAAGATCAGCAGTAAAAAAAATAAATACCAAGGACATTCATCCACTCCAGAAACATAAATAAAACACTGGAGCAAACCTAGCCCAAAAATTGAAGCAACTGACTTAACTTTAAACATTTCTTACCAGCTCCACTGCCAGCAAAGGGAACAGCAGCTGTGTTGAAATAACTGCTCTGGGAAAGACACAGTGCAGCACCATCACCCTGGGAAGGGAGAACAATTCCTACCTGGCTCCTCCTGAGCAACTCACAAGCCTGCCAGACAGCAAGGCTCTGGGGAATGCCCCATGGCTGAGTGATGCTTCGTACGGACACATCAAGACATGACATGAGCTACTTTCTGCAGATAAGTGGTGCTTGGCAGCAAACAAAAGGATTTTTAGTGAATGTTTCTCAGACTAGACTAAACTGCTCAGCCACCTAATCATGTCTTAACAACTTCACCCAACCCCAGGTAAATCCCTCTGCCACGCAGTGAGGGAGCACTATGTCCAGAATGATTAACTGTCTGCCTCATTACCAGAACTCCAAGTCTCGTAGTTACAGAGCACTCCCCCAAACCATTAATCACCCCAGAGCAGGATGAGGAAGGCAGGCAGCAAACTTACCTGCTGGGCACCTGATTGATGCTCCTGCTTTCAGCCAGCCCAGGGGAGCAAAGCCAAGGCACAGAGGCTGCTGGGACCCAAGGATTCCTGGGAGCTGCACTGCTCCAGGGCTCCTGGGTTGTGCTGGGACAGGATCCTCACCTGGCCATGCTCCTGTGCTTCAGGAGAGTTTCTCTCCTGGTCCATGACAGCCCAGCTCCAGGGCCTTGCTGCTGATCCAGACCAGCAGTGTTCTACCAAAGGAAACAGGCTGGGAGTGGATGCTCCAGGCTGTGTGCAATGGTTTTCCCTATTGTAAACAAACAGATTGCCCAGCAATCATGGCAGCTGAGATGGCCACAAACAGCAGCCATAGGCCTGACAATAACCAGAGACCCTGCAGAGCCTGGGACAGAGCCTGGGAAGATCTCAGACTGGAAACTTGCTGTAATGCTGGGCACTTCCTACCACTAGGAAGGTCATGGGAGCTGAGTGTGCTGAGCCTGCCAGACTGGGAACAGTTTCTTCCTGGAGCCCAGACTTCAAATTCCAGCTAGGCTATATGGAAGTAGAGGCTATGCTGCTGGTCTGGTAGATGAAGGAGGGGGAGAAAACCTGTACTCTCATGGATTATTTTAGGTATGTTGGAGTTCCTGAATACCATCAGCTAAAAGAGCCCTTGGGAAAGGGGAAGGAGCAGCTGATATAATTTTCACATTCCATAAACCCAGGGGATGCTCTACAACAGGGTAGATACTAGGGAAGAATATTTGGAATATGAGAATTTCTTGTTTCAGGAAGGACTTAGTGGTGGAAGTTACACAGAAGAGTAACTTCCTGTTAGTTCACCTCAAGAAATAGCAAGTACTGTTGGGTGGGACTGCACCACTTTGGTGTTCAAGTCCCTCTTTTAGAGGTGTCCAAATGACCAGGAAGCAAAGTCCCGTTGGTTTTCAGTTTTAAATACAAATATAACAAAATATTTAAAAATATGGACTCATAGGCAGGACACTTTAGGGGTTCAGTGCTGGAAGATCAGGGAGAGCAAGAGTCTACAAAACCTGTGTGGATAGGGCTGCAGGGCATGGGATTGCATGGGGGAGGAGTAGCTGTGCCTTCAGCCACAGCCTGCAGAGACAACACAGCCACAGACACTCACTTGCTATATTTATTGCATGCAGGATGACCCAACTGGAAAACACTCTGGCTCTCCCCACTTTCTGGGCATAGCCACGTTTAACCTACTGCCCATGAAGTTCTCACAATCAAGCCCTCTCTGGGTGATCAGGGAACAGCACCCGGGGACTGTGGGGACCCCTCCGTGGCAGGCCCATGAGCACGTTTTCTTCCTCGCACGGCCGAGCTGTGTTGGGAGGCAGGTAGCTAAGAGAGAAGAGTAGGCAGCCCTAAATGCTAGATGCTCCATTCCTGTGAGCCTGCTGCCTCCACAGGGAGAGGTTTTCTGAAGGGATGAACTCCTGAAGGAACCAGCCCCAGTACGTGCCTTGGTCCATTCAATGCCTGAACCGCGAGAGCCTGGGGGAACGGCTCGCCTGGTGGTACCGCTGATACCCCTCCAACGCGGCCGGGAGCAGCAGCAGGTGGCTCAGAGAATCCTTCTGGCAGAGGGCCATGGCCTCCTTGTAATTTATCTTCTCTTTAGTGACAGGGTCAACGAGATCTTTTTCATAGTTGGACTCATCCTGGAGCCTCTTGGCCAGGTTGCTTGTTATCATCCCTGTCTGGACAGCTTCCAGCACAGGGATGCGACCAGTTTTCTTGGGATCGATGAGCCCTCCAGTTAGATGCTGGACTTGCAGGTAGGGGAAAGCACTGTCTTTGGTCATCCAACCCTTCTGAACTGCTTCCCCCACAGACAGCCTTCGCTTGGTCACTGGGTCCTCAATGCCTGTGAAAGCTTTCTGGGCATTGAGGAGTCTCTGCATGTAGGTCCTGTCAATCAGCCCCCTCTCAATCGCCTTATGCACCGAGAACCGGTCCTTGGAAATGAGGTCTATGATGCCTCCCGTGGCAGCCTGGGCTTCCAGGAGCTTCTGAGCTGTCATGGGATCGAGCAGCTTCTTCGCAACGGCAGTCTTGATGTTGTACTTGGTGTTGGTGGTGGTGTCATACACGCCAGCGATGGGGGATGTGTCATCACATATGCCCTTCTGTGAGGCTGGGGGGAAGAAGGTTTGGGTTTGGTGGGTGGTGGGTGACGTGAGTGGGGATTTGGAGATGATGGAGCCAATTGAGAGGGATGAGGGAGGCTTGGTTTCCCCAGCCACCAGCAAGGCAAATTCAGAGATGGGAATCTTGCCATCCCGGTACAGCTGGTACTCTTCCTTTGTGATCCTCCTCAGCCTTAGAGCATCATCAATGGAATACTGCTTCCCACTTTTCTTGTCAAGGAGAAGTGAGATCTCCCCATTTGGGCCCAAGGTGGTGACTTCTTCCCAGTCACACTCCAGCTCTTGCAGCTGGATGTACTGGCCTCTGTCTATGATACCTCGCTTATAGGCTTCGTAAGGGGACATGTCCTTCCCTGTGTCAGGGTCCAAGATAGAGATCTTGGTGGAGAGGTTCGTCTCTCTCATCTGGGTCTCATGATTGATTTCCTCACGGTTGACCTTTGACTGGAGATCCCTAATGAACCTCTCTTTGTTGTAGATCTGGTCCTTCTCCCTAAGAATGTCTGCTTCCAGCAGGGAAACCTCATGTTCCAGCTGCTTCTTCTTCTGCCTGTCATTCTCAGTCCGCTGGCTGAGCAGCTTGGATTCCTCACGAAGGAAGAGGACTTTCTGCTGCTTCTTCCTCTCCAGCTCC